ACCTCTATTATCGATATAGATGGCTTTACTAAATTGCAACAGCAGTTGAACACTTCAAATCCCGCAAAAACCATCTCAATTTGAATATTTCCAAATGCAAAATCGAATCATTTACCAGAAAATTTAATGCAATACAATTTGCATAGGTACAGTATTGATGAAACTAATTCAGATAGAACTAACACTATCAGGGATCAAGGTGTCCATTTTGATTATCAAGTTACTTTTGATAATCACATTAATATTATTGTTAACTCTGCTCTCACAGTTTTATTATCAGAAATTGTAAGAATTTCAATAATATTTCATCTCACATTTCCCTATATTTTAGTTCAGTAAGATCAAAGTTAGAATATGGGTCCTTAATATGGAATCCCATTTAGAATCAGTATATATCAAATATTGAAAGAGTTCAAAAGAAGTTTTTGAAATACTCAAGTTTTAGAACTACTGGCGTGTATCCTCAAATGAATTGCATTTACATCTAACTATTGCAAACATTTGATCTTGTATCTCTTGAAAATAGAAGAGAACCAGCATCTGTTATTTTTTTACATAAATCGTTGAATGGTAGAATTGATTTTTTGAAATTACTTTCTGCAATAGATTCTGTTGTACCAAGATCAATATTTAGACATGATACCATTTTTTGTGCAAAAGAGCTCAAACCAATTCATTGTTAAAGTCACCAGTGAATATGTGCAATACTACATCTAGCTATCTACCTTATGTGATATCTTTTATTGTAGTATATGCAAGCAGGAAAATAAATCACATGTACATTTGTGAGATATAGATAATTATTAATAATTTATAGTTCATTTTCATTTTATTTTTTGTTTTATAGAAAATTAATTTCCTTTTGTATCTGAATTAAATAGTGCTATAAACTGTATAATTGAATTGTTAATTTTTCTCTGTAAATGGGAAAATGTTGGGCAATAAATGCTATTATTATTATTATGCAGGGAATGATATTGATTCTGAATTTGATTTCATTTTATTGTGTTGTAGTTAACTTGTGATAATGTTATGTAGGAAATTCAATAAAGATACGGATTGGAAAAAATGATATGAATTTTAACCCGATAAGTTCAGCTTCTACAAACATCATTTTAAAGTTTTAGGCTGTTTGATGAAAATTTCATGAAAATCAAACATTTCACCTTTTTATAAATACCTATGTCTAATTATATCATCATTTGACAAATTTTTCAAGGAGTATATAATACCAAAAAACTCGAACCATTTTCAACATTCACACAACAATGTCTAATTTTGAATCATACACTACTCTGAAAAAAAATTTTTTTCGTCAGTAATCATTGTCCCAATGATGGATGTACAAATATCTCTAACCTTGATTAGCGATGCATTTTCTGAACCTTCGTAATTTACACATGATTAATTCGAATTTACTGTGATAATGAAACTAATTAATTTAATATAGTGTTGGACTGCTGATGTCATTTTGACATTTGGCAATGCAGTCTTCAACTGTTTTTATTGCAGTTGCTGTCAGATTGTGAATTATTACTGTAAATTAAAATCCATTATACTGTAGGTTTCCTTATTATTTAAGGAAAGAAACGATTGAATAATACTTAGATAAATTTATATAATAGAATGAAAGAACATTTAGATATAGTCATCCTTTCAATTGAATTGTATTAAGGAAAATTCTAACGTAGGTTTTTTCTGTCTAGATTTAGATGTGAAGAACAGAGAAGAGATTTCAAGTCCACTTCAGTCCATTTCATCTCCTGAAGGTTGCAGTTCTGTTGTTTGGAAACAGTGCTTATTTTGAATGAAAAATGAATATTGACTAGATATTTTTCTCTTGAGAATTTTTTTAGTTGAAGTTGTGTTGATTCTGCCACATTAAATGGTTGACAGTACTGCGAATATCCAAAATGCTCCCTAGATGGCTCTGAGGGTTATTAACATAGCGAGAATATGAAGCTAAAGCTAATTAATAAATATTGATAATGCAAAAATGATGAAGGAAAAAAGTCACAAAATCAAAGAAACAATTATAAATATCAGAGGGCATGAATTCACAAAGATGAGAACGATGAAAAAAAAGAAGATTACTAACAAAAAAACTAACTTTGCGGCTTACAAAACTTTAAATAAAACAACAATGAAATGAAGAAAGACTCCAAAAAATATACAAATACCTAAGATAAACGAGGTTCCCGAGGCTGTCCTTTGTTAAGCCAAGCTTCAACATTGACCGCCGAATTTGATTCGTCTTTTGTCTTTCACAGCAGCTTTACACTGCAAGGCAACTGGTTGAAACCAGAGCCCAAAAATGGAACAATTGTGATTCACTACAAATTTGTGGATTGAATCTTCTGTCGATTATATGGATGGCGACTCCTTAAGGAGGTTTGTTTTAGACAGTTGAGTCCAGCAATTCATTCGTGGTTCAGCCTGGCACCACTGATGAAACCTATGGCGGGTCAAAACAGCACTGTTTCAACCAGTTGCCTTGCGGTGAAATCTGTCGTGAAAAACAGAAGATGAATCTCGTTCGGCTGTCGACTTTGCAACGGACCGCCATCGAGAGTCTCGTTTATCTTTGATATTCGTCGATTGAATCTTCTGTCGATCCTATAGCTCTAGAAGATTTATGCCTCACCTGTACCTTTTCGGATGATTTTACAAATTCAACTTTCATTTCTCAAATAAGATTTCGACTTTAGTCTCATATAAAATACTCCCTTTCCAAATTTAATAAAATTTCTATAGCTGGGATTAATTTAACTAACCATATGAATGTTTTTAGAAACAACTAGGCATGAAATTTCTTAAAGTAATATTCCAACTCAATGTTTTTTTCACAAATTACGTTGTGTAGCTTTCCTGAGATATTTGTTTCCATTGCATAACAAATTGGAGTATACAAAAATACTGTACAATCATTTATTTTTTTTGCATTAGTAATATCCTGACAGAAAACACTAAATAAAACCCCCATAAAAATATTCTAGATAAGAAATATTTGTGGAAAACCATCTTATTGATAATATTTTCATCTCCTTAGAAAACATTAGTGAGAAAACCAACTGCACACTAAAAACATATTTTATATTTTAATTCATCAACTGATGTAATCCAAATGGAAAGAAGAAACAAAATATTTTGCTTTGAGCAAATCAATATTTGCATTTCTGGTTCTTTTTCAATAGGTCGTTCATAGAAAGAGGATAGCAGAGAAAATTGATCTCTGGAGAACACAGCACTGATGGTGAAGAAATCCAAAACAGAACCAGCGATGGCTACTTGTAAGGAATGATCTTTGAGAAATTTGGAGAGTCACAAACAAAAATGATCTGGCAAGTCAAAATATCAAAGTTTAACAGGTAAAGAACTGATAATGAGAAGGAAATGAAATTATCGATGCTATCTTCAACTTTTTTACCTATGGTTATGGGGAGAAAATCAAATGTCTAATGGCCTGTGGAACTGAATTTTCGCCCATTAAAACTTTTACCTTCTGAATACCAACGTAATTCTTTCGAATTCTCAAAAATGATGCCTATCTTATATGGGCATGGTTTGGAGGTAAGCAAACTGGGTGCCATATCATTAAAGAAAATAGACTTTGAAATAAGGAAAACTATATATTTCCCAGATCTGAAATAGAAATGGTTTTCAGTACTGAACTAAGAGTGATGAAAAGTGAACTTACTATGATGATTCAAAACTCAAACCACTTTGGGTGCAGTTGGATGAATGGTGTAAAAGTTATGAAGTCAAGTGGGTAGGATAAGAAAGCCTTCATTTCACAAGTCCATCAAGAAAAAAACACAAATGAAACACTCAAAAATTATGATTCAATATGACAGTTGCTTCAGTTGCCGCCATTGTTCAGAACTACCTACATGAAATAAAGTGGAAATTTCTACCCCACTCACCGAATTTACCACATACTGGCTCTTCCGAATACTACCTACTTTGGTGAATGAACAGAGCTTCAGTTGAAAAATCATTTTAATTAACAGAATTTTGAAACTGGAACTTGATTGAGCATACAGTTAAGAAATCTTTTGACCATTAATATGAAATGTTTCATTGATTGTGTAACTAAGAAAATGACTTGTTACACTATAAAAAAGAGGAGTTATATGGGACCCTCCACCAATAATTTCTACCAAAAAATGCACTATTTCTTTGTTTCTTTCTGAACCAATCAGGAAACGAAGAGAACTGAACATTCAACTATAAGAGTATATAAGTACCTATAGGTACAGACCATTATAATGGCCTAGAGATAACTGCAGTTCATTATTTAAAACTTCATTGATATATGTAACGATCCCTTCATTACTTAAAAAAAAAAATTATGTTACTCAATATGTTATGAACTCAATATATGTTACCTTGAAACAAATCAAGCGATATGTTCTGAATACACATATTACTTAAGAAAACTGTTCCTTCCAAACACATTTTCAATGATTATAAATCATAGATATTGTATTACCTACAGGAGTGAAACAATGATGAATCAATTGTGATGCCTATTCAAATGACTTGAAAATCTTGCTGGGACAGTGTTAATGATCTCACTTATATTACCTCAAACCCTTTCCTTTGACAAACAATATGAACTTACAATAGTTTAACTTAATTAGATATTCAAAATGAAAGATCACTCAATAATTGAAATATAGATAACCCTATTATTATATTTTTGTTCACCATGTGCAGAGTAATATTTACATAAAAACAAATATAGAAAAAAAATTGTGTGTGGAAAGTGAATTGATCATGCTTCTAACATACAATTTTCGAAACAAGCTGATAAATTGCAAGAAAAATTGGCATAAATATAGTCAGAAATTCTATTTTCATTCTATGAAGATATTTCAAATTGGGTATTTAGTGAATAGTATTTCAAAACTGAACTTGATTTAAACCTCAAAATATATTATTATTCAGTTTTAACTAACTATATAAAACGCCATCTTCTTTTAAATATTCGACATTATTTACAAATAAACAAAAAGCACACCTAAAGCAGCAGTTGGACGAAGAAATAAGTCACGTGCCATCGAGACATGATCAGCGTTGACCAATTCCGTTGAAAAACGAGCACGACCTTTATATCCCCTTGAGACCAAAGGACTGGAAGACTTTCTGGAACTTATGTCTTTGAAGTTGAACAACTTGATCCTTTCCTCCAGGCTCAGGTTACTAGGATCTGCTTCTTCTGCTACACCAAGTTATAAGCATGGATTAAAAAAATAAAAGGTGAGGAAAGCAGTTTTGATAGTTACAACAATTACAGAGCAAGTAGATTGATGATATTTCAAGTAAAAGAAATTATCAAATTTTATGATATACTAGGTGTTGGTAGCGACTTCGTATGAGAGGACATCAATTTTTGGGTTTTCCCAGATTTTCTAACAGCAAAACGTTCCCATGTTTGCCTACCTTTTATATATAAAAAAATCGTTTCACAAACTATAATTATAATTACCCAATGTTTCAGCCAAATCAACTGAACAGAATTTCAACATTCTTCTTTCCGACAAATTTTGATGTGAATCTATAAATTGACATTATTTTTTATTTATGAACCAATCGAGAATAATCAGACAATAAATGTTAAGTTGAGCTTATCACAAAATATTGATGGAAACCCCTCTCAAATCCGATAAGCGGTTTTTGAGATTAGTGCAAACAAACGCACTGATAAAACATTCTAAAAATCACTGTATTGTGTTCTATTTCTTAATGAAGTATCTCTCAAATATCTTCCATTTACAGACACTTTTATTATATGTATTGATTTTGAGCATCATATCAATACAACAAATAATATAATATGAAGTCATGAATCAACATATTCAACTTATTTGGATTTGATTATTAAATTCAATCAACCAGATACTTTACTCATTTGAGCAGCTTTTTGATAGTAGCAACACCTCAGATTAAATAGGCAGAAAATAACTTTTTTCTACAAAACAACTTTGATATGTTTTCTTCTACCTCCAAACATTAGACCAGGTAATCTGTGTCAAAATAATTATCAGTTGTTATGTTCTATTGACATCACATTGGTGAATGAAATGGTGTTGAAAGAAACTGTCTCTCAGTTTTGGAGTTGGAGAAGTAGAAAATATTAAGAGGATAGTCTCGAGTGATTGAACCGAAACCAATATTTTCTTGGACGAATCTTTGTGCAAGTTATCTTCTC